AGTCAGGTTTAGGGATATGGTTTATGGAGCAGTTGTTTTTGTTTTTTTTAGGTTTGTGGAACATTCTTTTTAAGGAACACCTTTTCCCAAAAAGAAGGCCTTTAGATTTCCACCACCATTCATGGTTGTGGTTTCTATTTCCATTGCGCATGTAATGCACTAACTCATGACTGGAGATTTCATTTTGTTTGGTTTTTTAACTGTTTTATTTTCCATTGTAATATTTTTGTTATACATGACTTTTTAAAAATTTATTTTGCAGTTTTTAATTTGGTTTGATTTATTTCCTTTTTATTTCTTTTATTCAATGCAACTTATTGTTAAATCAAACATTTTGTTTTTACTTATTTTTCCTTTGGTTTGATTGATTGGTTGTTTTCGATTTTATTTTTCCATTTATTTTGACTGTTTTCTTTCCTTTTAATTTTTGTTGTGGAGGAGGAAAAATCATTTTAAAAAGAAGACATTACTCAAATTGGTAATGTCTAACAATAGTCATACAAAAAAAGACTGACCCACCAAAAACAAATATTCAAAATGGAGATTTTATTGTACACCCCATACACATCAACCCACTAAAGGATTCAAACCATTCCTCCACAAAAACAAAAAATTACAGAACAATAATGTAAAAAGAAAATGATAAAAATGAAAAGAAAATAAGACAATAAAGGACATACAGGAAAGAAGAAACAAGGATTAAAATTTTAACAAATGTGTATTGATCAATTTTCAGGATATATATATAATATCTGGTGTGGATTTACCAGTATGAGTTCATAAAGTATATGCAATTGGTAGCATGAATGGATGAGGTTGATCCAGGGTAAAGCCTGTTTGGTGGGTCAGTTGACCAAGCTCAGAGTGGTGATGGTGATAGAGGCCTGCAGTGTGAGAATGAAGCTTGATTGAACAGAATGTCTCTGTTGGATTCTGATCGAATGGGAGATGAAATGAAAATGGCAATAACTCATCTGTGAGACAATGTGAAAGGATAACAAAATTGTTGATATGTGGTTCTTTAGTTGCTGTTGGAAAGGAAGCAATTAGGTGTAAGGGTGTTTTGGTTGGGAGTTGATGGATTTGTTGGGTTGGTTGACTGAGGTCATGGGGTGACTATGAGAGAAGCCTGGAGTGTGATAGTGAAGCCATCAAGGTGTTAGAAATCACAGTGGTGATGTCAAGAGTCTGTCATAGTGAAGCCATGAATCTAACTTTGTACATCTTGCCCTTTTGCTAACAGAGAGTCATTTTTTAAAGGCAGGATTTGAAATTCCCAGCATCTTACTGTGGCCTATATTTTACAGTATAGTTAAATTGCAGGAGTTTTCTTCAACCATGCTCATAGAGTATGGGGCTTCCATGTAATGATCAATTGAGAAGCCCTTACCCCTTTCAGAACATTTTAAATGGTAAGGAGCAGAGGTTATCAGTCATTGTGACCAGCAGAAAACCAACCTGCTGGAAGTGTGATGAGGCTGATTATCACACCACCTCTTTTTCAGAAAAGAATACCTGAGGAGTTCTCCCACAGATTCATCAACCCCTGGCTATGGTTTCTGGTTTCAGACCTGTTAAGGATCAACACATACAAAGGCTCATTACATTGAGGTCCCATTCTCTACTGTTATGTATAATGTAGATGTACTTTGCTGGACAACTGTGAGTAAAAGGGAATGAAAAGATAAAACATGTTGTGTGCTTATCTGTAGCAATTCATAGCAGAACTAACTTTGATTGCTAGTAAACACAAAGTGATTGGTCTCTATAAATAGTTACAATGGAATTAACTATTTATTAATACCACATCAATGCATATGGTCCAAGAAAAAAACTACATACTATATTAAATAAAAGATATTCTTCCAGAATATAGCTTGTGACCATATATACTGTTACATTGGTCTGATGCCTGCCCTCATATTCCACTCGAATGATGTAATCCTTTGTCATAAGGTCTAGGCTTGTGATGGTTTGGCAATCCTCAACTGTGGGTAGCAGTAGGTTCCACATGAAACTGATTCCTCTTATAATCTATTGTTTTGACTCCAAAACATGCTTGTGACATGGTTCTTGTCTCAATGTTCTTTAATTTGAATTAGACAATTTGCATTTTCCTTCCTACAAAAAAGCTAAATTCTAATTTTGGGAAATTATAAAATTTTATTAATGATTTATCCCAAGTTGCATGAATGTTTTCTAACCATTAAGAAATATGTTGACAGATAAAAAAAAAAATTGTAAAATCATTCTGTCAGATGAAATATTTGATAAAGCAAAGACTCTACTGACCAATGCCACTGATGTCTTTTAAGTTTCTATGGATTATGTTTAGCTGCTGGCACATCCAGTTACATGATATTAGTAGTATTCTATAATAGAAAAGTGAGGATTCCCCTAAAAAAGCTAACATAGATGGAAACCAGGTACAGCACCTTCAGTCATGAGTTCTGTGCAGCATATGAAACTGTTCACCATATTTGTCAAAATCTTTGAGCTTAAAAAGATATAATGAGTAAATAAATAAAGTAAAAATGAAAATAAAGTGAAATGTTCCCACATCACAGGAGGAATATTTACTTTTCATTATCAAATGTGGAGGGAACTGTTGAGAAATGGAAAGGTGAGATAAAAATGACTGAGGAGCATAAATCACCCATATAAGTTAAATTATTAAAAAAACAAAACAGCACTCCCTGATAAGCTAACAAGTCATTCTCAAAAACTCAAAATCATAACCAGTCACTTCAAGATACCACTCCTAAGTTTTCCTCTCTCACACAATATAATTGGATCATATTTACACAAATTTAGCAAAAATCTGACAAAGACATTCTCTCTTTCTCCACTCTGATCTTAACCTTAGTATCCTTATAGTAGATGACCAGATGGTGGAAAGAAAGAAACAAATTGTCATGGACTTACACCATTAATGTCATCCACTATTCCCATCACAGCTAATAAACACAGTGTTTCTTCTCATCAAGCAATAGGCTCACAATGTCAGAAATGGTTTGCAAGGCTAAAAAATGTTCTTGAAATATGCAAAACATATAGCCTTCAATAAACTTGCACAGAAGATGTACAACATGCTATGAAAAACATGCTCAATGAATGCATTCTAGCAAAAATGAAATAAAAACTAAAGTCTCACTCTGAAAGATGTTTAGCTGACCTAGAGAGTGCCTTGAATCAGCAAGTATTAATATTCTAGGAGTATATAAAACTAAGTGGACAAACAAGGGAGATTTTGTCAGCAGCATATTGTTACGTGTTGGAAATTTTAACAAAGAAAAAAAAAGATTTACCAAAACACAGAGCTAAATCACAAACAAATATTTAATTTACAAAAACACAAGATAAAATATATACAAGATATACAATTGTGACATACAAAACTGAAAACAGTTTACTGGCGAAGTGTTACGAAGGAGAAGAAAGGTGAGTCAAGTATCTTTACCACGTTAGGGCTAGTGAAGTAATCAAAGTGCTATTACTGGAAATCCACAAATGTGAGTATATCTAGATTAATTTTTAGTTTGGTCAATGAAAATAGTTAAAACTCTATTTACCAGATCTGTTCCATGAGGTTCTCTTTTTGGATTTTTGTTGGTCGGCACCTTTTCTTAGAGACTCTCTCGGCTGGATATATTAATCCTCGAATCAAAAAGCTGGAGTTGATAATGGCAGAAATTCCTTTTTACAACTGACAATGCTTTTTCAAAAACCTATTTTTATAGGGGCTAGCACCTAGTTAGCATTTTTCTAGATGTTTCTCGAATCATCTAAATTTTTCTCAAATATACTGGAATGATCTAGAATCTTCCAAACATTCTATTTCTAATTTCTCTATTTTACAACTACTTCATGAATGAAAACTTTTTTGTATTAACAAGGACTCAGTAGAATTCCTTTTAACCTTATTGTAGACTTTTTTCTTTTCTTTTTTTTTTAATTATTTTTATAGAAATGCATCCTCGTAACAATATATTCAGGTGGAGAGAAAAATGAGAAAGGATTAGACCAAGACATGAAAAGATGTGCTCTCTGGTACTGTCAACTATATGCTAGAATTCTTCTGGAAGCCATTATAGTTGAATATGCACCATCAGTACAAAGCATAGAGGAAGAAACTGCACACATGACAATATAAAGGCTCAATGCAAATCACAAGAACATTCAAAATGGAACACATTAAGAGAAACTTTAACATCAGCAAATGAGATAACAAGGATGAACAAGAAAAAAAAAGTGTAATGAATTTTTGACATGATAAAAGAACAACAAATAGTGACAAATTACATATTTACACAAAAAAAAATATTAAAGTAAAAAAAAAATATAAAAGAATAGGCATATATGAGGTCCAATAAAACATCCGACGACCAGAATCAAAGATATATTACAACAGAAATATAGTACTTATGTTGGGATATCTGGTTTAGAAAAATATGTCCAAATTATATCCAATTGGATTCGACTGAACCCAACAGGAACGGATAAAAAAAATGTTGATAATAGAAAAAACTTCTTTAATGATGAATAACTACGAATGCAGAAATCAAAAAAAATATAGAATGACCAAAAGACATGGGATAGGATTTGACTGTATATTTCTATTTTGACATGTGGAAAAATATACAACAGGTGTTTGTGAGAACATAATATTTATGGATGCATGTGTATCTTTCTAACACGGGTCCAAAACATATAGTTACTTTTTTTTTTATATTCAGTTCTTTATGGCTTTTTTCATTGTCCTTTCTTTTATAATGCAATCATACGCCGACTCTCACGTTTCCTCAAATTTTAAACTTTTTTTTTTTTTTTTTTCAACAATATACAAAGGATTTGAGGCGTAATAAATTCTTTGCATATTACAAATGAGTAAAGCAATTTCAAAATATGCCCAAATCCCAACTGGTCTACGGCAGAAATCAACGCATAACAAAAAAAAAAAAAAAAGAGATGGGATAGGATTTATATCTTACTATTTTGACATGTGGAAAGGTGTTTGTGAGAACATAAAATTTATATTTCTTTTTTTCTCTCACGTTTCCTCTTTTCTTTCTTTCGTTCTTCTTTACAGTTCAGCTTCAAACACGGTCAGGCTGCAACAGAGATATATACTTTTTTTCTTCTTCTTTTTTCTTTTTTTCTTCTTTTCACAGTTCACTTCAAGTTCAGCTTCAAACACGGTCAAAACTGCAACAGGGATATATACTTTCTTCTCTCTTGATTTCTCTTTTCTTTCTTCAAACACAAGCTGGTTTTTCTCTTTCTGTGATAAATACTTCAAACGAACAGAAATATTGTATCCTCTTTCATCCGTTGCTTTATGATGAATCGGACAAGTTCCATCATTATCCAAATGAGTCTCATCTTTTCGTTCCATAAGTTATCAACGATTCGATTTCGAGTCTTGCTCCTTCAAAGACAAGACAACAACTGACTTCCAAGTAATTTTCTAATCCCCATTAGTCCTGCATTTTGGCGCGAATTCCAGTTCCTGTTGCTTCATGACCTTACGTCAGTCCCCTGTCCTTCTGTCTAGACGTCTGTTGCTACGGGTAACTGGGTCAGTTAACCTCTTGATGTGCTTCCCCCAAATGTCTCGAGACTCCCACGTGACCTCTTCTGTTGTCAAACGGAGATTAACCTTAATATATGCGGGTATGCGTGTTTTGAGCTATCTGCATCCGTCACATCTCCCAACGTAAACTAAAAAAAAAAAAAAAAACCTTTTTTTTTTTTTTTTTTCACAATATATCCCAACATTATCTGAATAAACAATGGGTCGTCTTCCTTTTTTTTTTTTTCTGATTACAATATCAATATATACACACTCTTTATATTATAACATTTTTTTCCAAATATACACACGAACAAAAAAATTTACAGCTTTGTCAAAGTATACACGCATTTTTTTCTTCCAGTTTTAATAACATACACACTCAATATTATTAAAATATATGCATTTTTTTTCTTTCAGTTTTCAGCTCCATCAAAACATACATATTTTATATTTTCTCAGTTCCACTAAGATATACCTTCCTTTATTTAATCCTTTCCAAATTATGGTTAACATCTGCACTCGTTTTCAATATCTCGACAAGGTATACGCTACTTTATTTGGTGTTCCAGCAATACGCTTTATTTGAAGATTGAACTCCTGCAATATAAGACTCCAACTTTGTAACCTTCGGTTTTTGTCTCTCATGCGATCTATAAACGTTAATGGATTAAGATCAGTATATACAACTGTAGGAGAAAGAGAATTGGTTATATAAACCTCAAAATGGAGAACAGCTAATACTAGCGCCAAGGCTTCTTTTTCTGTTGTTGAATAGGACTTCTGGAACTTATTCAATTTCTTTGAATAGAATCTTACTGGATGTAACTCTTTATCTTCATCTTCTTGCATTAATACAGCTCCAATTCCCACATCGCTGGCATCTACGTGCATCTGAAACGGCTTGTTGAAATCTGGGGCTTTTAACACTGGATTTGATTTTAACTTAATGGTTTCCAATGCGACCTCACATTCCGTGGTCCACACAAATTTATGCCCCTTTCCTAACAAGTTTGTTAGCGGTGTAGCGATTTCGGCCAAATTCCTACAATACCGCCTATCGTAATTAGCCATCCCTAAGAACCTTCTTAGACTTCGGCTATTAGTGGGACGAGGAAAGTTTGCGATGGCTGCAGTCTTTGCCTCTATTGGTTTAATCCTTCCTTGCCCTATTACATGTCCTAGATATTTCACTTTGGCATTACAAAATTCACTCTTGCCAAGATTTACTGTCAACTTTGCCTCTTTTAATCTTTCAAAGACCTTCTGCATCGTATCCAGATGTTCACTCTCCGTGTCACTGTGAATTATGACATCATCAATATATGCATCAACTCCTGGAATATCGGACAAACATCTATTCATTAGACGTACGAACGTAGCTTGCGAGTTCCTCATACCAAAGGGCATAACTCGATATTGATAAGCTCCATCTGGGGTTACAAACGCTGATATCATTTTCGGTTTGTCAGTTAACGGTACGGCCCAATATCCTTTCAGCATATCTAGTTTGGTGATATATTTAGCCTGACCAATCCGGTCGATACAATCCTCCATTTGATAAGCATCTGCCTTCGTGATGCTATTCACTTTTCTATAATCCGTACAAAACCGTACAGTGCCATCCGGCTTGTCTACTAACACACAGGGTGATGCCCATTCACTTTGACTAGGCTCAATAATTCCGTGTTCCATCATATATTTAATTTCTTTTCTCATAACTTTCAACCTTCTAGGGTTTAGACGATATGGATGCTGTTTGATCGGTTGTTCCGATGTCAATATTATATCATGTACTGCGGCATCAGTCTGCTGGGGTGTATCTGAGAATATATCCTGATATTTATTTATTAAAGTTCCCAGTTTCTGCTTTACCTCATCAGTAAGATGAGCCAACTTTTCCTCCAGATTTTCCAATATTCTGGAATTTTCCAATTTAAGAGGCTGGTCCTTTTTCTATCCAGTGGTTATCTTCCCTGTATCTTTCTACCTTCTCTTTCTCTTGTTCACTCACTAGCATTATTGCTTGTTCTTCCTCTCTTTTACAAAAAACATTTTCAACATATTTACATGGCATTTCATTCTACTTTTCCTTCGGTTGGGCATATGTACCCAAAATAATTCAAACTGTTCAGTTTTTTTCAGTACTTTGAACGGCCCCTGGTATTTTGCCTCAAATGGTCGACCGTTCGAAGGTAGCATCAGGAGTACTTCATCACCTTCTTTGAATTGCCTATCAACGGCCTTTCTATCATATTTCTCCTTCATATTCATCTGATTATTTCGCAGATGCTTCCTTGCCAGTTCTTGCGCAGCTTTCAACTTCAGTCTCATATTCGCTACATACTCCCTCATATTGCCATGCCTAGGCTGATCTACCATCCATTTTTCTTGTAATAACTGGAGTGGTCCCCTCACTCTATGTCGAAAAATTAACTCGAACGGGCTGAATCCTGTGGATTCCTGAATTGCTTCACGCATTGCGAATAACACAAAGGGTACTCCCTTATCCCAATCTTCCTGATTCTCCATGCAGTACGTCCTCAACATAGTCTTTAACGTAGCATGAAATCGATCTAGTGCTCCCTGAGACTGTGGATGATATGCACTCGATTTCACATGCGTAACTCCCAATTGACTTGTGACCTCCTTGAATAAACGATGTAAAATTGGATCCCTGATCCGTCTGTATAATTTTAGGCAAGCCCATTCTCGTGAAAAAGTTTACTAAGGCGTCCGCTACCTTTTTTGCCGATATGTTCCTTAACGGAATTGCTTCAGGGTACCTAGTTGAAGAGCACATTATGGTTAACAGATATTTGTACGAATTTTTAGTCCGCGGTAAAGGTCCAACACAATCAACTATAATTCTGTTGAATGGTTCTTCCATGTCTGGTATTGGTTGCAAGGGCGCTTTTGGAGTCGCCTGGTTAGATTTGCCCGCAACTTGGCATGTTTGATATGTCCAACAAAATGACCTTACATCTCTCCTTATTCCCGGCCAGTATAAATATTTAGTAACTCTGTCGTGCGTCTTCGCCACGCCCAAATGTCCAGCCCACTGGCTATCATGCGCTATAGATAATATCTCCTTACTGTACCTTGTAGGGACTATTATTTGCTCATATCCATCATATTTATCCGTTCCGGCATGGACCTACAGTTTCCACCACCTCATTAGGATACCATTTCTGATATAGTAGCGTCCTGACTTGTTTCCTTCTTCTCTACTTCTCCCAACTAGAGAATATAACTTCTTTACTTCCACATCGGCTTCCTGTTCTTTTTTTAATTATTCACGGTGTACGTTCAGCCTGGGACGTATCTCTATTCGGTTATATTTCCCCACTTCGTTCCTTTTATCGATTCTTTTTATCGTGAGTGATCTCGCCCTTCTGTTTTTCCACTCTTCATGAAGCTTTTTCTCAGTTTGCCTTGTAACTACTGCTGAAATTTTCCTTTTTTTCTCTTTCCGAGTTATAGTGCCTTCTTTTCATCTGATGTGCTGATATTTTTCGAGGCTCAATATCTATCTGTTTTCTGCCTGCATCATTTCCTAACAACAACGAAATTCCCTTCATCGGAAGCGAATCTAGCAGCCCGACTTCTATATCGCCAACCTTCCATTTAGACTTTAGTTTAATCTTCCATATCTCCGTTTTCATAGGTTTACCACCAATGCCGATCACTGTCTTTATCTTCCCCGTCCTATATCTCATATTTTCCGGCACATCCCTTCGCCTTGCTAACGACTGGGAAGCCCCTGTGTCCCTTAACACTCTTAGGGTTTTCATCTTCCTTCCGTTCCTGTCAAAAAATCTGACCGTTTGCAGTGTATGGCCAGTAACTCTTGTCTATCTGTTTCGTGATTGCTGCCCTTGGGGTTTTGCATTTTCCATCATATCCTTACGACTCCTACAATTTGTAGCGATATGCCTCTGGCTTTCTGCATGTATAGCACACTATCTGTGGTGCTTCCCGCTCAGGTAAGTTTCGTTTCCCTGCCCATATCTGCGTTCCGGTGCGCCTGGGTTCTTCATTACCACGTGTCTGTGTTGAATGGCGCATTATTATGGGTGGGTACTTGTATTTCTTTTTCCTGAACGGTATGTTCTTTTCCTCAGACTGGGTTCTATTTTATTATAATCTCGAACGTTCCTTGAACCACCTCAAATATGCCTTATATTCTACATTTTGGCCTCAAACTTTCTGTTGTTCTAAAAAACAGGGACTCCTCCGGACTATAAAAGATTTTCAGCCCATTATAATCCTCGACTACTTTCAGCCGCGGCTTGACACCACCTGTCTAAATATATCTCCTTCTGCCTGATATATTCTACGTCTGTGTTTGTGTTTTCCTTCCGTGGTCCCAACTTTCTATAAGCCCCTAAACTTCTGTCTATAGGCCTCCGACACGAGTTCATATGCCTTAAATATCGCGGACTTCACAATTTCATAGTCTGCGCATTCTTCTGTCGACAGCGTTGCGTATGCATTTTACGCTTTACCAGTCAATACTGTTTGCAATAATATCGCCCAATGTTGTTTTGGCCATTTCATGTTTGTAGCCGTCCTTTCGAAATGATCAATATATTATTCCACTTCTCTTTCTACAACCTTCGGCAGAAGATGCACTTGCTTGGTGATTTCGAAATTTTTCTCCTCATTTGCTTGTCTGATTTCTAACTCACGTATTCTTGTTTCTTGTTCAATACGTGCTTTCTTTATCTCAGCTTTAGCTAATATTCTGGCTTTCTCCAGTTCTACCTGGCCGTTCGACAGATCTGCTTCCTCCCTTAGGAATTCCTCCAGGGTCTCCTCATCGAACTCATTATTATCCACCATATGTTCTGTAATTTTCCTCACTATCTCAATTTTTCTCATCGACTTCCTGACGTTTAGTTCCAGCCTTTCCCCTATCTCATATACTTCATCTTTCTTCAACTGACTTAGTTTTCCCGGTGTGGGCTCTTTCAGGAATTCTTCTACATTCTCCATTTCTACTTTATTTTTTTTTTTTTTCCGTTCACCTTGTTGTGGTCAGTAAGTGTTAACTTAATAGAAGCGTTAAAAAGAATTTATGGCCCCCACTTGTTTACGAAGCAAATATATCCCGGACGAAGGCCCCATTTTTGTCATATGCCCTAGTCGACGAATGGTTTATAACGCGATCATACGCCGACCAGAAGATATATACATTATCACATCTGTGGAGAGATACAGGCTATCTCTCCCAGATCATGACAAATGGACAATTATTAAACAAAAAATTTTTTAAAAACACTGTTCGATTAGGATAATCGAACAGTAATCTTTTCCCAGGTTCGCTTCGGTTTCAACACGAATACTGATCCACAATTCAAGGATGAACGATAAGGCGTAATGAATTTTGGTATAAGAATTTTATATATATATATACAAAAAATATTAAAATAAAAGAAAAATATAAGCATGAGTAAAACATCCGACGACCAGAATCTCAAGACTTATGTTGGGATACCAAAATATGCCCAAATTCAAATGGATTCGACTGAACCCGAACGGATAAAAAAAATAAGTATGAATAACTACGAATGCAGAAATCAACGCATGACCAAAAAAAAAAAAAAAAAAAAAGAGATGGGATAGGATTTATATTTTACTATTTTGACATGTGGAAAGGTGTTTGTGAGAACAAAAATTTGTGGATGCATGTGTATCTTTCTAACACGGGTCCAAAATATATAGTTACTTATCTTTATATTCAGTTCTCTCTCTTACTCATTGTCCTTTCTTTTCTCTCTCACGTTTCCTTTTTTTTTTTTCTTTCTTTTTCTTTACACAAATTCAATTTAAAACACGGCCCGGCTGCAACAGAGATATATACTTTCTTCTTCTCTCTTGTCTTTCTTTTCTTTCTTTCTTTCTTCATTACACAGGCAGTATTCTCACGGTCGGCTGCAAATTTATACTTTCTTCTTCTTCTTGATTTCTCTTTTCTTTCTTCAAACACAAGCTGATTTATCTTCTTCAATCTTTGCGTCTGAGTTGACTTCTTCAATCTGACAGAAACAGAAATATACATCCTTATATTTCTTATCCGGAATTGCTTATGATGAATCGGACAGGTTCCATCATTACCAAAATGAGTCTCATCTTTCCGTTCATAAGTTATCAACGATTCGATTTCGAATCTTGCTCCTTCAAAGACAAGACAGCAACTGACTTCCAAATAATTTTCTAATTCCCACGTGTCCTGCATTTTGGCGCAAATTGCAGTTCCTGCTGCTTCACGACCTTACGTCAGTCCCCTGTCTAGATTCCATCTAGTCATCTGTTGCTACGGGTCAGTCAACCTCTTGACCTGCTTCCCCCAAATGACTCGAGACTCCCACGTGACCTCTTCTGTTGTCAAGCGGAGATTAACCTTAATATATGCGTGTTTGGGCTATCTGCAATCGTAACACTTAGCAGACCCATTTTCGTAACAATGCATATGAAGCCAGGTGCAAATGAATGCAAGCTCCATTGGACAATCAGCCTAATGAGTCATTAATTAAACTAGAAAATGAATTCAGTAAATATACAAAAATAAAAAGGGACATAACACAAGGATGTGCCTTCTCACCAGACTTATTTAACTATTATAGCAAGATGATCCTGAGAGAACTAGAAGTCCTACCAGAATTTATTATTGGTAGACACAATCTTAACAATATGAGATATGCAAACAACGCAATGTTGATAGCAAACATAGAAAGAACTCCTAGAGAAGGTAGTAAAGGAAAGTGAGAAGAAAAACTAAGCATGAATTGTTAGAAAACTGTTATATAATATCAATCCTCCTGTATGGTAGTGAATACAGGACAATCTCCTCTCAGATGAAGAAGAGATTTGAGGCTATAGAAATGTGGTTCTTTGCTGAGAATATCATGGACTGAACATGTGAGTAATGATGAAGTTTTAAGGATAATAGAAACAAGAAGAAAGAGACAATTGCAATTTCTAAAGTACATAATGAGGAAAGAGGGCTTGGAGAATTTGATACACACAGAACATCCTAAAGGCAAGAGGGACAAAGAAAAACAGAAAGTAAACTATCTAATAAGCATGTGCAAATGGATGGCAAAACAAGGTCTGTGAGGGATAGTTTGGTTTTGTTTGTTTTATGGCATATCAACCTCAATGGGTTATTTAATACTGACAAGATTTTTATTGCTGGTAATATTTTCTTTTCAAAAAGTATTCTTGGTAATATTTTTTTCCAAAAATGTATTGCTGATAATATTTTTTCTTTTTCAAAAATGTATTGCTGGTAATATTTTTTCTTTTTCAAAAATGTATTGCTGGTAATAATTTTTTTCTTCAAAAATTTATTGCTGGTAATAATTTTTTACAAAACTTATTTTTACATGTTTTAACCCCAGTATAGGTGTTAACTATTTGCCTATAGCTGGGACCCTAACAGGTGCTACCACTCCTGGTCAGGGTGGACCTGGGAACAGCAGCAATTAAGAAGTGGTTCCATGCTCCTCAAAACCGCCTTGCTGTTGGGTGTAGTTTATCATTTTACCCAAGATGGGTGAGGGATAGTGAAAAACCAAAACTTACTAAGAGCTACAAAATATAGAAAGTTGTGAGGTCCCATGATTGTCCACATCCTGAAGGAAAATGGCACATAGAATAAACTAATTCTCTTTACTAGTTCCAATAATTCAGGTATTCTTTGGAAATTTGCATTGAGGAATTTCTTCATTAGGATTTTCCATAATTCTGTTTATCCATCAGCTGCCACATCTAGAAAAGCCAAGAAGGAGTCTTCAGTTTCAAACTTTATTTTCCATCTGAAAATAGGCTGACGGAGTGGTCAATTCCCAAGGGCTGGGCCATATTTTGACAGCTCAAAGGTGCTTAAGTTCATAGAATGGGTGCCACCTCAATGTTACTGTTGGTTTTCCTTCATAAACCTGAGAAAGATTTAATTCTTTTTCTAAAGTCAATGCCTTGCTTTCTATTTGATAAACTAATGGTTTATGGGAGTATTTTACTTAATACAACTTCTATCTATAAATTTTATTTAATTCCTTCCTTGTCAAATTTAAATAATTCAAGCAAGCTTAATTGATGACCACCATTTATATATATCAAACTTTTAAATGTGCAAGTGTCAATTACTTCCAATTTATTTTGGGTATAACACAATTAAAAACTATATTCTCTCTCTCTTGTCTAGCAACCATCCTCAATTCTTGATTAAACATAGGGTAGGGAATGGATAATTTTATAACTTTGAATACCTCAAGAGTACTTTCTCTATCTAATCAAAGTAATGATACCTGTATCAATATCCTGTCATAAGGGTTACACAGTTATAATGGTGTTCTAACTTGGCATTAGGGTCAGTGGGCAACCTAAGTTGATGACATAATTCAGACTGGATTAAAATAAAAACTAAATAAAAACTAGCATAAACTATCTGTTATGGTCCAATATCCTCGCACCACAGTTATGGTCCAAGGTTAGAACCAAGGAAGAACAACACGAACACAAGAGTAGAATAACAAAGATATATTACAAAAGAAATATAGTACAAGAAGTTGAAGGTGTTAGTAATGACTGTCTATCTGGTTTAGAGTGAACTAATATTGTCTCAACCCGTTACACCATTCATTCGGTATCTACCCCCCCCCACAAGGGTTGCATGTGGCACAAGGCCGAGTTTAACGTGGGTTTCCCGAGCTCGTAGGTTTCTAGACGGGTTCAGGGCCTGTCTACCTCCCCGGACGAAACCCTGCCCTTTGGCAAAGCTTCATCCAGGTTCCTCTCTGCCAAAGCAGAGAGTTCAACAGTCATGATCTGGTGCTCGTTACACCATTCATTCAGTATTTAGCCACCCCCCACGAGGGTTGCGTGTGGCACAAGGCTGAGTTTGACGTGGGTTTCCCGAGCCCGTAGACTCGGCCAAAAATATACCCTTTGAACCCACCTAGACGGGTTCAGGGCCTGTCTACCTCCCCAGACGAAACCCTGCCCTTCGGCAAAGCTTCGTCCAGGTTCCTCTCTGCCAAAGCAGAGAGTTCAACAGTCATGAACTGGTGCTGGTTACACCGTTCATTCATGATACCTCTTGAGAGGCACAGTATTTATAGTGTCAGGAAGAGTCAATTATTGTTATAGGTAAGTTCCCATAACACTATCAAATACCATATTTATTTCTTTTACATATCAGTCTTTAAATTTTAACCAACTCATGTTTCATTATTCAGATTTGTATTTTGCTTAGTTACTTATTTATTTTTCATTTTATTCATAATTTGAAAAATAAAAAAAAATATTTTTAATAAAGATATCTTTAGACTTTTCAAGTTTGATAGTCTCAGCTTGCTCATAAAAAGTTTATTTAAATTTGTTGACTAGGCTTTTAAATTTAACTTTGCACAACATTCACTTTTGTCTTGCAAAGCATTGGTATGAACTAAATGATGTTAGTTAACCTTTTCTGGATATATTTTATCTTGATGTGAGCAGTATATAATGTGAGTTTCAGTCGATAATAAAAATACTAACATGAACTTGTTTTGTTGGTGAGAGGTTTTGTGATGCATAAATTATTTTATTATTGTAAAATAAACACAATGGTAGTAGTATTTCTCAATTACTTTATTCTCATAACAATGACATACAATTACAAAAAATATATATGGACCTTGGCTACTCAGCTGTTTAAATAACACTCGATGCATCCCCTATTATATAATGAGACCTTCATTTCTACTCTATGTGCCCCCTTCCTTCCCCTGACCACAGGATGGATTGACATGCTCAGTTGAAGGTTTGCCCCAGAATATATGTACAATTGTCCTTGCATTTGTGGGGATAGAGTTCAAGGTGCCTGTGTGTTTCAACATGGGCATTGACTTGGGACAGGTGTGGTCCGATATTGGTGTTCTCCAATATTAATTTCTTTTGGGCCCACTGAATCCATAGTGTTGTCACTTTCCATTTTTTTCTGGTTCATTACTCACAGTATTTGGTTTATGTTGTATGTTGGGTGATAAGGAATCATAATCCATGTTGATCACTATGAAGATTCACCAGGTCACTGTGGCTGGTCCCCATAACCTGCAGATGTATTATATAGGTTCTGGTCTAGATATGGTTAATCTATTTTCCAGGTTGCTATCTTAAACTGGCTGTAAATGAGGTTGAGGGTCCCACTCCCTGGGTAGAATGATGTGGGACATCAACAACTGTATGGATCTTATAAAGGAAGTGACAGTTGTGTAGAGTTACCTGATTGCTTACATCCAACTGCACATGGTACTGCCAGTTACTGTGTATCTCCATGATTCTCTGCTTTCATTCACCGATGAGGGTAAGGGCAATCTTGATTCTGGAGCTGAACAGAATCACCAATTTGTAATTCCTAAGGTGGATGACAATGTTCATTGTAAAAGTGTTCATTCCGCATGTACCTTTTAGCTATTGCTGACTCTCAGTTCACCAATTTCTCTCCACTGTTTACATATCTGGTATTTGTCCTATAGGACAAAGAGGTGGTCTTTGGTAACATGAATATTTACCATCATAGCTGGAGATACGCCAAGATCCTGGATGGGAATGTTGCATTGTGTCTTCAAAGCATGGGCTGCATGATTATGACACAGCTGTCCATATTGTTTGTGAGTACATACTTAGCTGTTTTGACAGCCAATTCTACTTGGCCATTGCTTTGTGGGTAGGAAGTCAATGAAGTAGATTTCTGTATTCCCCAATTCTTAAGGAATGAGTCATATTCTTGGGAATCAAAAGGTGGTCCCTTGTCGGAAAAAGTTCTTCCAGTGCACCATATATGTAGAACTAAGTTCTCAGGGTGCCATATACTGCCCTGGGCTTCCCACATGACATTAGGGGCACTTCTACCTAACCAGTGTACCAATCTGTATATATAACATAATTTAAGTCAAAAAAGTCAATCATGGTTTGTTG